TGCGCCACCGGGCTGGCCCCGTGGACACAACTTTTAACAATTAAAAGAAATGCTGGTTTATGCCAAACAATTTAATTCTACTGGAAGCTATTTCAGTGTCTGAAAGCACCAGGGTCATCATTATAAACAGCAATATTGTACCATAAATGTACATTTATAGAGCAGAACTTGGCAGTGTGTCTTAGAAGTCTATGTACACTTTGACTCAACAACCCCACTTCTAGGAATTTATCCTAAGAAAATAATTACAGACATATAAAGAAACTGGGAAACCGGAAATAACCTAAGTGTCCAACAACAAGGGAGTGGTTAAATCAAATAGGGCATCCATATGATGTATTATCATGCAACATCAAAATTATTGCAGAATATTAAATAAGAAAATAGGTCAATATATTTATGAGACATTAAGTGAAAATGCAGATTACAGAATAACACGTAGAACAGCATTTTTGCAAAAGAAATTCCTACAGATAGAAAAAAGAACAGTACACAAGAAAATATTAATAGTAGCAGTTATCTCTGCGAGATGAGATAAGGGACAATTCTTTTCACTTTTTCTTCACTTTGTCTTCCTAAATCTCCCACAAATAACATTGTTAGATTTTCTTTTCTTTATTTTTTGGCAGCTGACTGGTATGGGGATCCAAACCCTTGACCTTGGTAATGCCAAGCTCTACCGAGTAGGCTAACCAGCCAGCCCACATTATTAGATTTTAAATTACAAATAATTTTAAAACAAGTTATTTTTAATTATCCTATAGATATAATAATGTGATTAAAAGTGCTGTGGTTGAAAAGTGTTGAATATATTTCCTACAGAGACCTCTTGATATTAGTCTGTGTACTCCAAAATCCTACTCATTTTTCTTCTGAGTTCACTTCTTAAAATTAACACTTTTACAATACAAAATTTCTTTCTCCAGATTACTTCTAACAAGGAGTTTTGGGCATATTTTCTTTTGAGTAAGTTCTCTATGAAATCACCACCTTCTAAGACCTTATTCTCCCTCATAGACACCTCTCTTGGTTAATGGATAACAAAAGTACCAGCAGATAGAATAATTTCTAGTGTTCTATAGCACTGAGGGGTGGTTATAATTAACAATAATGTATTGTATACTTTCAGTTAGCTAGAACAGAGGATTTTGAATGTTCCCAACATGAAGAAATGATAAATGTCTGAGTTAGAGGAAAAAAAATTCATGGTTGCCAGGGTTTTGGGGAGGAGGAAGGGAGGAGAAATGGGGGGAGCACAGAGGATTTTCAGACGAGCGAAACTATTATGTAAGATACTGTAATGGTGAACACATGACATTATGTATTTGGCAAAACCCATAACTGTACAACACAAAGAGGGAACCCTAATGTTAAACTGAGTTCATATATCAACATTGGTTCATAATAGTAACAAATGCACCACTGATGTCACATGCTAATAACAGAAACTGGGGCAGAGGATATGGGAACCATCTGTACTTCCTGCTCAATTTCTCTGTAAACCTAAAAGTGCTTTTAATATAAAGTCTATTACCTTGGAAAAGAAAAAGACACCTCTCTCCCTTAACACAGAGTAGCACAAACCTGTGATCTGGATCACCCATATGAAAGAAAAAGCTGCCAGGCACACTGAACTGCTGATCTCAGAAAACTAATAGTTGGGCTCTACAGGAAATAAAACCACCCCCATTATAAGGTAAACTCTCCCCTTGGGTCCATTAAATCAGTCTCTAGAATACTAGTGTATATTATATGATTATATGATTGGTATCATACTGAAATCTCTATTAAAAGCTATGAAGCAGATATGTCTAACACTGGCCTGTAAGAATTATCAAAAGCTAACATGCAAAGTACCTGATCACAATAATGAAAAGTTACCTAGAGAGCAACCACACATTCCAGTCTGCCTGGGTCAGTCCTGGTTCAGTCTCAGGTCAGACCTATTTCCCAGTGTAATTACTACCAGGACCCCTCTTCACTCTCAAAAGTATCTCAATGTGGGTGGTAAATTATATAGCCACCTTGATTACAGTCCTCCTCATCTGGAATGCACATTTGCCTAGAAGGTAAAAGGGAGATAGAAATTTCATTTAGCTCATAGAACAACTTTACTCTTACCATTCTGATTCCAAATACTAGAAAATTTGAGGCACTGTAAATAAACAACTATTTTTAAGTGTTTTGTGGAAAGACTTTTTGTCAAAACAATAAAATCCTGTGTCATTAAAGATTAGTTGTACTTAATTTGTAACATTTTTAGAAAAACGTTATAAGTAACATTAAGGTATGATGCCTCTTGTCATTTTTCTAAATAAGGGATTTTGGAACTAAACATTAAAAGATCACTAAGAATTGGCTTTGACCAGTCAACAGTCATCCTTCAGGAACATCAACATCAATGCATTTTAGAACAAATGCGGCTTCCCCAAAAGAGTCTTTTCAGTGAAATCATTCCAAAACCTGCTGTGACTTGCCCCTTACAGGTAATACATGGCCTCTCCCAGTCATGCTGCAGGTGGGCATGCATCAGCAGAGAGTTTTGCACATAGCATACACGTCTGGTAAATGACCGTCACTTGAATATTCAACAATGCTTTCTGGTGTAGAAAAATGTTCTACTTAGACAAATTCTAATTTAAAAACACATTTCTTGAAAACTGAAAAACAGATGTAATCTTATCTCTTTTCATTAAGTACCAAGAGAGGCAAATTTAGAAAATAATTAGCTGTATATTTCTTAAAATTCTAACAATTCATATTATCCTGGCTGAAATTCATATTTATAAGAATTAAAATGTAAAAAAAAAAAAAAGCCTATTTCGGTAAAACAATTATAAATGTTTATTATTAGATAAAATATACAAAATAACCTAAGTCATTTGAATGTGGTTTTAGTGATGACCATGATCTTCCTAAAAGAGAAGGCAAAATCACTCCTAAAATATCCATGAATCCTTGATTTGTTGATGATTCATAGCAAAGCAAAATCACATAGTCTTGAAAATCATTTTGTTTTCTGACATGGATAAAAATTTTAATTGAAAATTTAACATAATTTACTATTTTCAAATACTTAAATGTGCTCCTTCTAAAAATGCAACCTACCTCTGAATTGTGATCATCTACCTGAACTCCCCCACCCAAATAAACTAAATTGACTTAGGCTACATCATGATACACAGATGTAGCCTAAGCTGAACATCACATACAAATGTTTGAAATATTAATTTTATAAGGAAAACATCTAATGGTTGTATTAGCTCATATAATCAATCACTAATCCCCCTCTAATTTTAGAACTATGTGGCCTGATCACATCAATTACAAAATGGATTTTTTCATTCATTCAACAAATAAATATTTCAACAAATTAAGTGCCAGATACCTACAAGTGTCAGGGTAAACAAAGGTCCTTGCTCTTATAGAGCTCACACTCTACCAGGGCAATATTAAAGAAATGCTGATTGTAAAATAATGAGTTTGTGATAGAGGAAGTAGATGGAGCTTTATAAGGGTATATAGTAACAAAGCTAACCCAGTCCCGGGAAGTCACAGAGACATCCCTAAGGAAGTGGTGTTTAAAATGAGAGAATCATGTGCTTAAGCTAAGGATCAGTGTTGAAGAAGAATGGAGAGTAGAACAGTTCTGGCAGAGGGAACCTTGTAGACCCTAGTGTGGGAAGGACTTGGTATGTTCAAAGAACTGGAAGAAGTCTAGAATGGCTGGAGCCTGTGAAAAGAATCAAGGCAATGAGATTAAAGAAGTGACAACCAAGATCACGGAGGTTACTAGGAGGTTGGCACGTCTTCTACAAGAAACCACTGAAGGATTTTACATAAGGGAGTAGCATGACAAGATGTGCATTTCAAAATGGCCATTCTAACTCCAGAGGGATGGACAGATGGACTAGGTAAGACTGGATGCAGGTAGACTACTTCTAAGGACTGTGGTAGTGAAAGATGAGAATAAGTATGGGAATTCAAGACATAGTTGGGAGGCAAAATCAATATGACTTGATGACTGAGTTTGAGATTTCTCTAAGACAACCAGTACAGATGTCCAGGGGATCTGTTAGAGCTGTGGGTCTGAAGCTCAGGGGAGAAGTGTGTTAAGAACTGTCAATGCAGGGATCATCTGCGTTTAGATGGCAAGCCATGAGAGGGGCTGAAATGGCCCAGCAAGAATAAATTGAGCCAAAAGAAACACATACACTTAGAAATAAGGAGATGTGCCAGGGGCTGGGGAGAGGGGGAAATGGGGAGTTATTGTTTAATGGATACAAAGTTTCAGTTTGGGATGCTGAACAAGTTCTGGCCTAGTAGTGATAATTGCACAACAGTGTGAAGGTACTTAGTGACAATGAACTGTACATTTAAATTGGTTAAAATGGTAAATTTTACATTATGTGTATCTTACAATTTTTTAAAAAAGAATAAAGAGATAATCCTGTGTTGTTTGTATCTTTTAGAATAAGAATGTATTGGGCTGGCCCGGTGGCGCACTGGAGAGTGCGCCGCTTGGGAGCACGGCGGCGCTCCCGCCGAGGGT